CTTCGAATTGACAAGCTTTCCTCATAACTGCAAAACTGGAAATGGGCAGGCCTATGGAATATACATTTTTGAAGGGCAAAGAAGACCAAAACCCCAAAGTCTCTCAGTCGGAAAAACTGGGGAGGTTTCTGCCACATGGACAGGCTAAGAAATGACATAAACATGAGTCAAGGATGACATAAGGGTGAAATGTCCTAAGGGTGAAATGAGTCACCTGTGCTGACGTTTTTTTTTCTTTTGTTTCTATATCCAGCGGATGAGATCTACCCAGCTGGCCCGGAAAAGACGAGAGAGCCCCAGCTGCCACACTGGGATAGATGGCATCCTCAGCTAACATCTTTCGTAACTGCACATCCATGGTCAGAAGTGAAAAAGGATCCCAAACGAAAGTGAATGGATGCTGAACTCCCCAAACTCTTGGTTGCGTCAGGTGCTGCCCCTTGAGGCCTGAAGCCAAGGTTCGGATGGAAACGATGCCTACTGGATTAGATTTAATAGCTGGTCCTGGGGTGAAGGCCAGAGATAGGAGTGAGGTGAGAACCTGAACAAATGTCCACATAACGGAAAACCAACAGGGCTAGGAGGTAACTCCCGGACCTCGATGTAAATCTTGAAATAAATCACAACTTTCTCTTTATGTTATTCTTCGTGGCTCTTGATTTCTTTTCCCCTTTTGAGCAAATGCTACCTGCTCAAATATGAAAGCCAGGAAAGTATGGCTAGCAAAGTGAGGAGATGGGTGCCTCTTATCCAGTTTAAAGGACTAACACTTAATGAAATTTTCCTTCTCCTATTTCCAGTAAAATCTACGCAGGGAGCCAACCTTTTGCCATGCTCGGAGCTTTGTAGAAATGTGCCTGAACTTCCCGGAAGTTGTTAAATGAGCCCTCCCTTCAGGACACCAGGCCAGCCCCACCTGCTGTGATAAGCCAGTTCATCAATGTACCTGCTTTTCCTATGGCCTCAGAACAATTTCCTGGCACTCGTGGCTTTCCAACAGAAAGGCCACCATGGAATGCCGTGGAGAAGGGCACCGGCACTGTGGAGATCTTTTACATGGGAGGGTGCACTCATGCTAACTGCCAAACAACTAGATTTCCAGCCACTCGGGAGAAAGAAAACTGAGCTGCCATTCCTGAATTTTAAGGCTAAACAATCATGATCTAATTCGAAATGGGAAGGGCAGGATGTGATTCCTGGGGTGTTTTCCGGAAGTATTCGTGCAGGTCAACGGGAGTACGGCTGGTTCCGCTTTTGGAAAATGCAAGCAAGCATGTCAATCTGTGTGGACTTCCGCCGTCATTATGTCAGAAGCAGCCCCCTGTACGGACACCGACCCCGTCTCACCATGCCGAACTGCGTGGGGGTAAGCGGAGAAAACGTGGTTGAGACCAACGTAACTGCCCCAGACATGAAACGAGATGTGTTTAACCTTCGGAGGGTGATGAAATGTGCACACACCTAGCAGCTTGGCCACGTTGCCGCTACTATTTGCGTGATGACAGGTAGGCTTCGGCTCCCCTGTGCATCTGGGGAGTAGTCATCTTTGCAAAAGCACACGGGAAAGAGTGGGAAAGTCTGAGGCTGTTCACTGGGACGTGCAATCTTCCTGTTCTACCCTAGAGCCTTGATTCCAGCTCAGGCTCCCCTCTAGCTCTCTCTCACCTTCAAGGTGTCCTGACGGGGCCCGCGAAGGCCCCTCAGGTCCGCCATGGCTGGGATGGGCACCACGGAGACAGCACTGTGGGCTGGTGGCGTCCACTGGGACTTTCTAGTCTCTGCTGGCTGCTGAAATACTTCCCCAGAATTAAAGTCCGGGGCTGAGGGTAGGGGGGTGTCTCTCACGGACAGGTTGTGGGACAGGTAGGACTGAGGAATGCCAACATGAATTCTTCTGCTGACTCTTCCACGCAAATACCCCCCCAGCCTGCTCCGGGGGGTCCGGTAAAGTACAGCAGTTCCCGCCGAAAGCACAGCTACTGGGCTTCTCGATCTGTGTGATTACACCTGCAGAGTCGAGGCCCGGGACCCCCGGACTGTGCTGCTACCGATACCAAACTACTCTCCAAGGTCCCTGGGAACTTCTGAACGGTTTCAGGCTTCCTTCCTCCTGCCCTTCCCATTACTCACGCACTCACTTACTCATCATCCTGTTCCTATGTTCCAGACACTTGGGGTGCGTGGAAGACTAATCAGCAAAAGCCGACGAATTATCACACTGCTGCACATTTGCTAAGTGCTCTGGAGGACCTTGAACTCGCAGTGGGTGGTGAGCCTATGGGGGAGGGGGTGTGTTGAAAGGCCTCTCCGAAGGGTGGGCTCTCAGCCAAGACCTAAAGGATGGGAAGGATTCACGCACGTGGAGTGGGGGGAAGTGCAAGTCAGACAGAGGGACAGAGGTGCAAAGGCTCTGGGGTGGGAGTTGGTTCTGAAGGGCTCAGCAGGAGGGAGGCCCATGGGGAGGACGCGTGGAGAGTCGAGGGAAGACGGAGCTGAAGAGGCAGGTGTGGAGAGCCCGCGGGCTGCGGAGGGAATATTATTCGTGCAATGGGAAGCTACTCAAGGGGCTGAAGTGGGGAGATATGATGTGAATCCCACTAGGCGACGTATGAACAACAGATCGGACAGGAGTAAAAGTGGGATGGGAGGGGCCGCGTATGGCAGGAACTGCAAAATGCCTCTGGGCAGCCATCCAACCCCCCCCCCCCCCGCTCCTTCTTTACTCTGAGACCTCCGGTTTTATTCTGGGCAGCAATGGGTCCCTTCAGAAAAGCATATTTCCCATTTTCCTTGTAGCTAGGCACCAACACGTGTAATAATTCTGCACAACGAGACAGAAACGGAAGGCTGTTTGGGGTTCTTTGGGCAAGTTTTGCTGTCTCGCTCTGAAGGTGCAACCCTGTCCTCTTTCTTCTCTTTCCCCTTCTTTTTATCTTGCGTGATTTGAGCCTGTAAAAAAAGACATGATGGGGGCCTCCTCCTTCCTTCTTCCCTTCCCCCTCTTCCCCTCCTCCCTTCCTCCTCCTCCTGCCTCTTCTTCTTCTCCCTCCTCCCCTCCCCTTACTTCCCTCCTCCTCCCTCTCCTCCCCATCCTGGCTGTGGGGTGTGGGAAGAGTTCTTCAGGCCTGCTTGTGGCCAGATGCTTGCTCATCCAGAGGTCCCACAGCAGGAAGCGCATTGTTGCAACAGACCTCAACCTCATGGTCCAATTCAGCCTCGATTTATCAGGAATACAGTGCTGATGTTTGGATCCCCCAGCCTAGGCCAGCTCACCCCTGGGTAATGTTAGGCACGTGGCGTGGCATTCTTTCAGCCACAGGATCTGGGCCTCTTTTTAACACATGCTTCTTCCCACGGGTATTGCCAAAGAACACGAAACCTCCCTATTCTAATGCGTGGTTCCCTTCCTACCTTCGCTGTTGGAGTCAAGGGTTGAGTCTTCCCTGCCAGGTGGGACAGTGAAGTCACGGGAACGAAAATATATTATGAAATTGATGCTGGTGAGCAAGAGGTACCCAGAATATCCCAGTGTTCAGGCACCTGGTTTGCCATCACTCTGCAGGGGCTGTGTTTTTAAGAGTCGAGTGGCCTTTCCGTCTCTTCCTTTTCTCCATTACCAATCCAGCCTTACCTCCCCTCCACCTGCTAATCCATGCTGCACGGCCCTCCTTTTAAAGGGGGCATCGATATTATTGTTTCTCATCCTATCCCTAGTAACCCTAACTTCAGAACTGCTGGACAGACACGGTCACGTGAAGAAGGGTCATCCCTCAGAGTAGGAATCACGAGAAGGTGGTCTGAGAATGGCCTGAGGAGACAGCACTTCTGTTCTTTCCTATGCCTTTTCTGTAAAGACAGGTGTCCCGGGTTGATCTCACACTGCATATTTGGTCACCTATCAGAGTTCACGTTGGAGAGTTTCTTACGTATTTTAATGCTGCCGCGAAAAAGGCCTGACAACAGAGTCACAGAAAACCCTTTTCCACTCGACAGCCTGGTTTTTCACGCCCCTCTCTCTTCTCATCCGAACAGATACATTATCCCTTGGGTTTGCACCAATGAAATAGGCGCTCGACGTTTTGGCACGTTATATCATTGAAAATAATACTTATTCTCAGAATGAATATGTAAATCGCGTATAGCCCCGTCCCACATGGCACCCTGCACCTGGTATGGGATGGAGCACGGCATTGTTACAGTGTCATTCGGTGGCTTTTACCGACCCGGGGAACATCCGCAACTGTAATGCATTATGCCACTGTGATGTTAACTACAGACACAGACAGAGTGCCCATAAAAAAAATATACGCCCTTTTTTTTTGAATAGAGCCCTGGGTAATTACCCCGACTATTGTTCTATGAGCAAGCCCATTTAGACCCCTTCATCAATTTAGGGTCTGGACATGAAAAATCACCAGCATTAAGCGGTTAAGGCAATCTGCTTTCCAGATGAAGAAAGGACAAAAAAATAATACTGCAGAAAACCCTCCTCTACTCCTGAGTTGCCCATGTCGACAGCCAGAGCTCACCTCAAATAAAGGATCCTGGGGAGGAGTTTTTCTGATGATACCTTCATCCTAAACAGAGCTCAAGGACAATGTGTTCGGGGTCTGCTTCCTACTGTCCCAGCACTGGGAGGACACACAGGTCTGTGGGGACGGCCCCCAGGTAAAGGGTGGCCACTCTGCAGGTGTGCTGTGAGCTGCGGTGGGTCCAGCAGGCACAGAAGCATCTGGGGCCCTGCCCTGGTGGCCGGGTTTGGTGTTCTGAGGAAAAGCTACAGAAATGTTGCTCACCTTGAGAAGTAAGCTCTCAGGGCGGGGTCCGTGTTCCTCCAAGTTGCCACAGAACATGAAATCGGTTATGAGGTGTGCCATTTGATATGGAGTAAAATGGGAAATTATTGATCTACTTACCCCCACATGAAAACAAAAACTAAATGAATACAAAAGAAAAGGCAAAACCACAGCAAAACAGATGGCCCCCCAAATTTTACTTACATTGGGTGAGGATTCCAGTTAAGGCATTTTTAAAATTCTCCTTGGCTTCTTCCATCTCCTGCTCATGGGTGGCTTTTTCGTTCATCAGCCGTCGGACATGGCTATTGGCTGACTGCACCATGGAATAGAACTGGTTGGCAGAACGCCGATTAACTTCCCCTCGCTCAATCCAGGAGAGTAGCACTGTGATAGCCTCTGAAAACTTGCTATCATCTGGAAATGGAAAACCACCAAGTACAAATCATGCCAAGGCAAGGACACGTACTTTACTCTGGTTCTTCTCAAAAGACAGAACATGGACCATCTTAACGGATACATCTTTGGAACTTGACAAATTAGCTTCCCTAAGGCTAACCGTGCTAGCGTTTCTTAGCCTTCCCTTTCACATCTGACTCTATGGTGTCACAGAGCCATCCAAGAAATACTTGGTAGCTCACTCTCTCATCTACCAACCCGGTGAGCTTAGCTTTAGATCTGTTCTGGGCATTCTTGGTAACATGGCGCACCAAATCCTGATTTCTCTTTCTCAAGAGTGGCTCAGAAAACTGTCATTAACCTATTGGGTCCCTACTGCATTTTTCAAGATTCTCTTATCAGATCTATTATACAGTGAAACTAGTTGTATGACTTAGATTCAGCTGAGTTAGTGGCAAAATATGGATGACAGATTAGACTATTTTAAAACCGGATGTAACGGAAGATATTGTTCCCAAAGTGGTTGTAGGAATTAGTTCTTTTTCTGCTCCGGTTCAAAACTAGTTTCGCTTTACATTTAATAGAGCATCTTCGATTCAGCTGAAAAACAAAACATTTCCTTGCTTTCAACAAAAGAGGGCTTGTTCCCTGAGTGGTCAGTGTTCTCTGTGGAACCCATCTGGAAGCCTACTAGAGTCCACTTGAACTTGGTTCGAGGTATGTGTGTGTTGTGGAGGGGGTGGGGTGCACGGAGTGGGCAATGAGGTTCCACCTGTAAATAAATGATAAAGTTTATCTGAAAGAAAACAAGTAAACTTGCCTGTTTGGGAATGGTTACTGGAACAGACCTGTGTTGTATGGCTTAGAAGTAAGGAAAAAAAGCAAGTCTGAAGGTAATTAAGTTAATTAGAACTGGAAGCTGTATGTCAATTATCACAACATTAATCGATCCTACTGCTGAAGGCTCACTGCGTACTTCCCAGGCAAACTGGAGGGGAGAAGTCTTCCACCTGAATTTTTCTACCCTTGGAACATGTGACTTAAGGAAAATATCCTACATTTTTCCAGAAAACAAGGTAGATTCTGAATTCTAAAAATTGGGAGCAAAATTACACTGGACGATTCAGATTCTTACGAATTTATTTGGTAAATACTGAGTGCCTATTATATTCCCTCTCCTGGAGGAACATCAAAAACCTCCCTATGCGTTGTGTGTGTGTGTTTGTGTGTGCATTTATTTCCTATGTTATATATTGTGCATATATGCATACAAACACATATACATATATCCCCCCCAGATGACTGGACGGAGCGTGATTCATGTTTGGTAAAGGAGTTCTATTTTATCTCATTCACCAGATGTTCTTTAATCAACCACTGTTGTTGGCATGTTAGACAGCATACAAAGCCTTCGTTCGTGGGGGTGATTTGTGAATTTCATAGTGCGCCGTAGAAACACCATTAGTACCTTTTTTGCCAGAGTCCCTTTCCCAGACGGGGGCACAACTTCCTTGCTGTGGCTGTTGCTTGCCCAGAGGTACGCACCCGGAACGAAGGCAGGGTCAGCCTGACCCAGGGTGCGTGGAGCGTGCTCTGCTTTTTCCATGGTGGAAGTAGTGATCAGACACACGCTACCCATCAGCACCCACCCAGGCCCTCTCCCCCTGAGGCGGAGGCAGTCTGGGGTTGGGGATCAAAGCCTTTTTTCAGGGCAAACCTGCCCCCCTCTGCCCTCACACTTGGGCCAGAGGAGAGAACTGGCCCACTGGGCACCCTGCGAGGGAAAGACGCCCTTCCTCGAAAATCTCCAGGCACAGGCACAGAACACATGCGGGCAGTCTCACAGCTGGCTCATCCAATTTTGTTAACTCCAGAATTTCAGGCTGAGCTCAACCCTCGGTGAACTCCAGCTGCAGTGGTTTCTTATCTCATTTCATGGACCGGAGCGGCTTGTGTAAGATAAAATCCATCATACAACTTAACATTACGTTCAGCCCATGGAGAGGCCCATAATTTAGCATTATGTTTGTGAGAGGCCCACTGTGACCGTTACAGTCAGAATAAATTTTGCCTCCCGCGCATACTCGCTACCTCTCTCCCCGCCAATAGATGTTAGGAGAATGGACCTCCCAAAAGACAGCATGAATAAACCTAACACTTATAAGAAGTCTTTTTTTCCTCCCCTCTTAAAAAATAACAACAAAAAAGAAAACACTGACTTCATGTACCATTTTTCGCCTTTCCTGGGACTTTTATCTGTATATAACACAGAGGGGGGAAAAAACCCTCTAAGATTTTGTTGTCAACCTTACAAGGAGATAGAACATCCCCGTTCCATCCATCTTTCCCTCCTGTTACTGGTTGTTCTTCCTTCTCTTGCTTGTGGTAACTCAGTTCATAAATACACTAATTTACTGTCAGGGAGAACACACTTAAAATTTAAAAATGTGTGTTTGCTCAAATGACCTGAAAACCAAACTTTATTTTTCTTCCTGTCTAGGACGGAGGGCATAAGTTCACCAGCAGATCAGAGTTAATTGATAGTTTTCAGAAAGAGAAACAGCAGTTTTAGGACTGGGCAATTGAAAATATACAATTTAAAAAGTAAGCAGGGAAGAGACTTGCTCACATTTTAACAAGTGTTAAAAAATATGTAGCACAAGTCAATAGCACGCAAAATTCCACTAGCTTAGCTTAAAAGATGTATGTAGTTTCGAGAACTCCCAATTTCATCCTCATTTCTGAACTTTCTGAAACTTCCAGGCCAATATATAATTGATGTACTGACATGCAAATTAAATGGGAAAACATTAGTTAAGGCACAATCGGTAAGTTCGGTCAATATCTGTTGCTACGTAAGAAGTGACTTCATATTAATTAAGACTAACTCAGCAACTCACTCTGAATGGCTACAGAAGTGTATTGGGAGCGGTCATTTTCAATATCTAACTGTAAGTTCAATTTTGGATTCAGTGGAAAGATCACTGAGAAAACAGAAAACAATATAAACTAATTTAAACAGGATTTAGACGGCAGCATTATTAAAGCTATTCATGTGAAAAGAAATTAACACTGCTCATAAAAATCACATCAAAGATGCATTTACAAAAATTCCAAATACTTCCTGTGAACATGCTCAGGCATAACTCTGAACACGGGTGCAGTTTAGAAACTAGAATGGGCAGACGTGCCTTTTTCCACAGCAAGAGCTGGGGAAACTGCCGTATTAACGGGCGAATATGGACCATTTGCTCCTTAAAAATTGTGCAGTGTTTTCTAACCAGGGTCCTTACCACGTCACACCTGGGTTACCGCACATGTCTGCTCCATGGCTTTTCTTGATTTGCATTTTCCCCTTCATCCCCCGTTCCCTTACCATTCTCCTCTTTGGTGAGCACCATGGCCACGCCTCCCCGCCTTTCCGTGCTCTGTGTGCTCATTCCAGGAGCCTTCACGTTTCTGGACACCTGGATAACTGTTACGTTTCCCTCAAGATTCAGCCTCAGTGTCTTTCATCAAAGCAGCTTTTCTGTAACTCTACCATGAATTGGGGCGTCCATGTGCTACGTTTTCACAATTCCCTCCATATCCTTCTACTAAAACATCAGTCACTCTATATAGTCAATGGTTGGCTTATGGATCTGCCTCCAGTTTTGAAGGGCTAACGTGAGAATGAAACTTCTAAAACATACTGCAATCTTCTGGTCACTCTGAGTTTTTCGCTTGGCAATTTATCTATATTTGGTTACACTATCTAATAGACTTGCAGTGATTCTCGCTAGAGAGCCACAAATTCAACGGTCAGAAGTTCGGAAACATCAGTTAGTAATCAACATTTTTTAAAGCTTATTTATTTTGAGAGAGAGAGAGAGAGAGAGAGAGAGAGCGAGCACTGTCATTGCAGAGTCAGATGCAGGGCTTGAAATCTGAAACTGTGAGATCATGACCTGAGCCTAAGCCACACGCTTAACTGACTGAGCCACCCAGGCGCCCCAGTAATAAACATTTTAATTTCATGTTAAAGAGTGTTTTCACATTGTCTCCCAGAGATAAAAGTTCTCTGGCACTTAGGCTAGCTGGTCCTTTTATCCTTCAGGCCTCTGAGGACATCGCCACTGGCAATGAAAGTTAAGAATGATGTCAGATAATCACAGAGAAGCAGAGCCTTCTGCAGAAAGGCGCTAACCAGCTTATCAAATGACTCAAAAATCTTTTTGAAAGCATTTTTAATTCTGGGAAGATAATGATTGTTTTTAGTTTTGTGAGGAATAAATAATATTGTAATGACTATTATCCCTTTACTGTCACTACCTGAATCCCATACCCATCTCATTTTGTTTTCTGGCTCCTTCAGACTTCATCAACCTCCTTCTCTGTCCCTCTCTTCCATGTTTATTGAGCACCTGTGACATAGGAGGCACTTCAAAAACTGCATATGGGATAAATCTTCGCCATTCAAAGACTAAGCTTGAGCCTCATTTGGGAGCTCCTTGAAAATGCAGACTCACCCTGACTCGGGCTTCCTGATTCAGAATCTCCTACTCCAAGTGATTCAAAGGCACATTAAAGTTTTGGAAGCACTGGAAGAAATCAGTCAATGAAAACCAGGGAAACTGGCTGGGAGCTCATCTATGTTAAAAGATCACGAGACCTTGACATGGAAAGTGCCACCTGAGATAGTGGAGGTTACTGAAAGGGTTTGATGTGATTCTTCTGAGCTCTGTGAATCCCTGTCCCTAACCTCCCTGCCCCCATTTAAAGAACAGGTGCTTAAACATCCGTCATCCCTGTCCCAGAAAAGAAAATGTGAAAAAAATGTCAAAGACTTGGAAATGGGCATAGAGACTACTGCAGATCTTTGTAGCGGAATCCTGGGCATGGCCCAGAAGACCCTCTCCATCGCCCCCCAGCCCCCAGAATTATCTGATTCTATAGGGGAATGAATCTTTAATTGCCTCTGACTAGGCTATCTTACAACCCTTTAGGGACAGAACATAGATTGTGGAGAGCTGATAACAATGCAAATAATTCTCCATAACAACACAGATGAACTATCGTCCAGTAGAAAATACCAATCATTATAAAGCACATTTTCTTTTGAACCAGTTTTAACGCCTTACTGATTCTCTCATTAATGAATGAGTTAAACAAAATCATAAGCACGTGTCAATTTTATATTTGTAAGTTATGGTTCCACTGCCAGAGCATGCTTCAGCCACCTTTGAACTGTAGCTCCTCAAAGGCCAGGTCCGTGCAATAGTTGCATGTGTCACTCTAGGACAAGGACACAGAGCCCAGGACTCAGCAGGTGGGAACGTGGTGAACTTCAATCAAAGTGACAAACCGATAATCAAGGGGAAAAAGGCCTCAAATGGGTAAGCAGGTATTTTTCCCCCTTTGTGTGCAGAGGGAGATCTGGCCTTGATTTTCAGAACAATAGGTAGGATGAGAGCCAGGCCATGAGCACTGAATATGAAAAGTTAGGCGGGCTGTAGTACCCTTATTTATGGCTGGGTCTATAAAGGAATAACAGGAGAGGAGATCAGTGTTTGAATAACATATCCCAAGAATGAGATAAGAGGAAGATGTTCTACAACACAATTTTTTCCTCCAAAAATGGGGATACAGACACACGTACACACACACACACACACACACACACACACACAATCTCCCCCAATTACTCAGTACCTGTAAAAATGAAAAAAAATTAAGGGAGGGGGTGGCAATATGAAAATGCACTGATTATTCCTGCTTTGGGGTCATGCGAAACGTTTCTAGGTGAAACGGCCTGTCTTGCCTCTGTGAAGGTCAGTGACGCCCACGGAAGTGATTCTCCAACAGCCTCCTGTGCTTATTTCCTCTGCCCTAAGACGGAAGCCTGGCTTTTAGCTAATGGAACTTCCACTTGGCTTAGAGCATTATTGATTTTTACTTTCTTGGAACCATAAATATTGACAACCGCCACAGCAAAATGCCGGCAGCCCTCCCTCCCCCTGTCCCCCTGGCAGGCTGACACCGGGCCATTCTGTATGCAAATCAGAGCCTAGCCCTCCGGAAATTATGAATGCGGATCCCAGGAGAACTGAATTCATGATGACACATCAGGGGATCCCAAGGGCACTGCTTCAAAGCTTTGTCAAAACTTCACCTGATGGCACAGAGAAACTCTTCATTTCATCGCATAATGAAAGATTATGCGAAGCTTTCCAAAGGGGGGAAAAGTACACAAAAACTTTTAAATGCTCTTGCCAGGAGAAATCTCCAGTGAATGAGGATATCATCTTTCTCACCGTCTAATCAATCTCTTCCTTCCCCAGTCCAAACACAGGGTTCCTCCAGGGGTGGATGGTCTGTGTTAGACACACTGAAATTCATTATCTCATCTGCCTGGTGCTACTGTTTCCAATAAAGTGTAATTATGGTGTTATTGAGCTCCTGCTCACTTTCTCAAAGCCATGCTATAAACTTTGGGTCTGTGAGCAGTTACTTCCCAGTCAGTCTTCATTAAGTTGAATTGTCTCAGAACAATGTCTATTTAATCAGCAGGGTGCCCGCTAATTTTCTTTTTTAGAATTTGTATTAACGCAACAGACGCTGCCTTAGACACTACACAATTACAACTCCAAGTTTCCTCCGCCTTCAAGAAGGCCCCGTGGCCATAGAATCTGGGGTTAGCTGGTTTCAGAAGATCTGCCCCCTCACCCCGTCACTGTCCAGTTGGGTCCCGAGTCACTCCTGGGAAGGCACGGGGCACTTCTCACACACGGTAGTGGGAAGTATACGGTGCTTTGTAATTGCCTCTATCATTCCAGAAGCCTAAACGCTGTGAAGTAGAGGCTTGCATGCTGTTGTCTTCCCTGTAGTGCTTAGCAAGGTCCCAGATATATGGTAAAGAGCCCCACAAGTGGGATGATGGCTGCCTGCACATTTCCGATCACGCCCGTTGGCACCACTGCCCAGAAATGCAACATACTCAAGAGATCCAAATAGCTGAGGAAGAGAGAAAGGAATTAAGCATTTACTATGTGCATTGTTTTAACCCTAGGCAGGATGCAGTGGAGGGCCTTGTGGGTCATACATAGGGTTGGCTTGTACACATGTTGCTAGATGAAGCTGATTTTCCAAAAGGAAACTGCAAGAATAAACAAGTACAATGTAAAATGGGGGAAAATGGAATAAACCTAAGAGAGTATGATTTCTCAGGGGAGGGGAAAAAAAAATCAAATCCAATTAGGTATTTTCAGATTGCATTTCCATTTTCTTTTTTATCCAGGCTTCTTTACCTTGTGTTTTGACTGCATTTTTTTTTTTTTTTTTTTAATCCCTACATCAATGAAATCATCTTCAGGGCAGCAGTTTCCTTGGCTCCTCCTGTCTGGCTTTGCAGCGTTATAAGGAGCATGGAGTGGATTTCCTCTCTGAGGCAGCCAATTTCCTAGGCAATTAAATGCTGTTTATATTCCAAACTCTGTGCTTGGGTTGAAATTGTCAAGCTTGATATTACCTGACTGTTGCCTGAGATGTATCCCCAGCTAGTTCATTCTACTGTAACTGCCATCTATTAAATTTTCCAATCTGTTCTCTCAAGGGATCACACAGTACTTGGCAAAGGTGCAGCTTCGAAATTCTGCAAATTATACTCATCTATATAAATATATATTTTTGAAATGGCAAAGCTTGCAAATTACTTCACCAAATTGACATCCCAATCTGTGATCCTCCAGCAGAGAAGGCAATGCCACGTTCCTCTTACATGCACAGACATTTCCGTGCGGGTTTCTTAAAAAGAACAGGGGGATGCCAGACTTCTGTGAAACTCCTCTAAGAGGTCACAGAACCACGGTGCTAGTTTTTGTCACGTCTAGGTGTAGCGCGTAAGCCGATAATACACAATGTACAGGATATTAAAGAAAAAAAACCCAATTTGTTCCAAAATCCACATTCCTGGCTGAGGATGTAGTTCTTTCTCCTCCTGGCCACTCCCTGTGATTTGTAGCCTGAGTGGAAAGGGGAGATGATGCCTGTATTTGCACTGTGTATGCTTTTTGTTGAAGGGACAATGACCTATGTGTTTATGTCTGTAAGACAGGCCCTTTCAGAGCAGCACAACAAGCAAGACTGGCCTGGTGGTCACAGTGGGGCATTTCAGTCACAATTGCAGCTGATTAGGGGTTCTCAAGGCCGGACCGGGGGAAAACGGCTAGAAGCTAGAAGCCCGTTTCAAAACAATTCTCGGGGTGCCTGGGTGACTCAGTCGGTTAAGCGCCTGGCTCTTGATTTGGGCTCAGGTCATGATCTCACAGTTCGTGAGTTCGAGCCCCACGTTGGGATCTGTGCTGACAGTGCAGAGCCTGCTTGGGATTCTCTCTCTCTCTCTCTCTCTCTCTCTCTCTTTGTTCCTCCCCCACTCACTGTCTTGCTCTGAAAATAAATAAATAAAGTTTAGAAGAAATAAAAGAATTCTCTTTTAAAGATATAGAATGTCAACCTCCTATCCTCCTAAAATAGGTTTGGGGCAGCTTTCATACATTTCTTTTAATGAAAACATCCAATCCACTTTACACATTCCCAGCAATATACTAGCTATGCTCTAAAACACTCCAAGCGATCAATCACATCTCTCTTCCCATGAGAAATCTTTCATGGCCTCTCCGCTGCTTAAGGAACAAAACCCAAATCCAGCGGCAGCCTTCAGGGCTCTGCCCGCTGGCCCCCAACTGCTCTTCCCACTTCACCTCGCTCTAGAAACTGCCATGCAGCTCTCGTGTACCCTGGGACAGGTGACGTGCCTTTCTCCTCCTGGGCCAAATTCCTCTCTGCTTCCTTGTGTCTTTTCTCCTGGGGCTCCAGCCTCTGACCAGGATGTATTTAGGCCCTTTTTCTCCTGGGGGGCAGGGGGGACCCTTGTTTCTCCTGCACAGTTCTCCTCTGTGACGATTTTCTTGATATACCTTCCTTGACACTCGCCCCTGTGTTCCCAAAGCACGTTGCTCATACATCGGTTGGCAATCATGCCATTGGCTTTGGACTTGAGTTAATCGCTTACTTGAGACACCTACATGCGGCCAGGGACTGCAACCTGCCTTCTCTCCTTAAAACCTGACACGCCCAACGGCCTGAGAAAGGTCTGACCGTCACTCGTCACTTGCCTGTAAAATGCAGATGCGGCTCAGATGATACAACTCTGATGGGTGATGGAAGGGAATTCACGCATACACGTGGTCCTGACTTAAAATTCCGGCCCCTCCCCAATCATCTGTAGTTCCCTGGGGCAGGTACTAAAGCCCCCATATGTCTTTATTCCCCCACAGCATCAAACACGTGAGAGGAGCACAGCAAACGTTAAAGAAGTCACATACACTAGTGCCCCCTGCCCCCAATTATTCCATAGGTGTTAGCAGTGACCCTTCAACTCCATCTCTGAAGGCAGGGATCCCGACCACGGGAGGGGACACTAGCCTAGCTCATTCGTCACAGGTGGTAAGACAGGAGCCACCTCTGGGCCTTCTGCGTGCGACTCCTCTCCCCTCCTTCTGTGCGTCGTGCTGAGTGACAACACACACCTGCACAGAGGACACAGGTGGGAAGAGGCAGGGCTCTGTCCCAGGCGGCAGGGGGAAGCTTCGGGGGTGACCTCGCCTGCAGGAAATCAGCAGGTGTAGGGGCGGAGACGCGGGGGGTGCTTGGGGATCACAGGGCTCCTCAGTCAGTCAGCGGGCAGGGGCTACTGCCGGGGCAGGCCCAGGTCGGCGGCCTCCTACCTTTCAGCTTGTCGGCCAGCAGGGCGGCCTCGTGCTCCGAGTAGTGCATGATCGCGGGCGGCGAGGGCGGCCGCAGCCGGTCCTCCTCCAGCTTGCGCCGGTGCCGCTCCTCGCGCGCGCGCATCCTCTGCTTGCATTCCCATTCGTAGAAGTCGTCCCTGGCCTGGGCGAAGTCCACGTGGAGGCGGCCCGAGTCCTTCTTGTCCGTGCTAGACCCTAATCGCATCCGGTAACCTGAAAGCAACGGAAAGGCCGGTCCCGTCACAAGGTCACCAGCACGATGAGGGCAAAGCGTCGCCCAGGCCCTCAGCGAGGGCGCGATACGGGTGCTTTCGCCTCTTTCTCTGCCCATAGCAAGGGCACTCTGCCCGTAGCAGGTGGGAAGCAGTTACGCTTCTCCCCAGCGATCAGGAAGCACGGCCAAGTTCAGCTTATTAGGGATTTGGGGATAAACCCCCTCCTGGGAGGCGTCTCAGAGGGTCACCTACCCATCTTGCAAGCCGCTGTTACTAAGAGGATGACCTCAAGAACCAGGACACTTACAGTAACTCCTTCTTCCCTCTGGCTTCCAGGAAGCTCCGAAACAAATTTGGCACGTAGCGTTCTCCCTCCCGGCTCCCCGATTTTATGGCTTTGTTTTTTTTTTCTATTTTTGATTTATGGTAACTCCATTGCGTAAGTGCTCTTAAGTTCTTTTTAGAAAAAGGGGGAGCAGGAGTAAATAAAGAATATCTGTGATATTTAAAAAGATCCACAAAGTAAATTCCGCAGCACCTCACTCACATGTTACCGCTTCATTCCCCTAGAACATGCTGCTCAATTCTCTCTCAGCAGCTGCAAAAGCCACAATCACCAAGGCAATTTTGCAATGCTGTTTTATTTCCACTTATCCTCCGGGGCACGCGGGAGAATATTTTACCTTCAATCAAGAGGCCTTGCTACTGCCTTCCTTACAGCCCTGCGCTACCTCATCTGGCACGCAGCACTGCACAAATTGTCCACGCGATCTTTGAAGGCCACGGGAGCCCGCGCAAGAACGCGGGGCTAGACCAAAACCAGGGGCCTGGAAATCTTTGGGGGATTTGCGGCGAGCTACCCAACTTACAAGCAGATGATGTGCAGACACTCGATCTGAGACATCAACGCAAACAGAACTGAAACCAGACAGCTAGCCTAACTTCAAATGAAGGAAGACTTGGCTTTGAGGCTGCTCTTTCAGTTTGGGGCACTCAGATTTTAAAAACATAAATTCAGGTCCCAGCAGGATCACAGCTGTTGGGGCTGCCAGAGGAGACAGCAAAGTGAGCACTTTTGCTGTGTAGGGCCTTTGCAAATGAGACACCACTGTGAAATGCCAGGCTGCCCTGTGCTGATGTTCAAGATCTCTATGGTAGATTTCAATGGATTATCTTGGCATTTGGGTTGGAGCTCAGCTGAAAATCCCTGCAGAGGCTGACTTCTCCCCTGTAGGGCACTTCACACCTTTGAGAAGTTGCAAACACAAAACAGATCTCACATCTGATTCCTGTTGTGCCCTTCTCCCTCCTAGGTTCAAATGGTGTTCTCTAAAAATGGGAAGACCTAACAATACCTACGACACACGTAAACATCCCGTCATAGATGAGCAGAATTCATGCTAAAGCAGAGTGTATCTTGGTGCTGGGCCATAGCGATGTAACAAGTCGGCAGGCCACGGTGATATATACATAACAGCTGAGCGGGTGGCACCACCTGAGACTGGCTAGCAGTCCCCACTGGCCAAGGGACTTTCTCCTGCCCGTGTCCAGAGCATCGCTTTTCAGATATTTCTGTTCCAAAATGTACCCTCTCTTTCACCGACACATCATCATTAAGGCCTTAAAAAGAGATCCTGATGAGGCTGAGCCTAAAATTAGCCTGGCCTTCAAATGTGAACACGGTCCTAAAATTAGGCCTTCCAGCTGGGCACGGGCTTGCAGGAGCTTGCACACGGGAGGGGCAGCCTTCTGTCCCCACACCCCCCACCCCTCCAAATAAGCAGCCTTCCAGATCCTCCCCGGACTGATGTGCAACCTTCCTAGGGCGATGGAGGTAAAGCTGGGAGACCCCTGTGCCCCCAGGCAGGGAAGCTGGAGGTGAGGCCTTAGCTGTGGGCTCTCCCTGCCGCAAAGGGGCAGATCAAGGAGCAATCAGGCGCCCGGCTAAGCAGCAGGACCAGGGTCCAAGTGGGGCAAAGCCTAGCATCAAGGAATCAATAGAGAAATACCTTCCACGTGCCTAAATTTGGGCCTGTTCATCTTTGGCGACGTCTCAAGGCGCTTCTGACTGGGTCTAAACATTGTGTTATGTTGGCGTTGAAAAGCACTTTTGATCTACTCTAACCCTCTCATTTAATCAGGTGGGGTGAAGTAATACTTTTATTGGTAGAGCTGTGATTAGAACCCGGCTTCCCGAGGCAGGGTCCGTGAGAAATAAGGATCCGTGTTTCTTTTATCATCTTCAGGATATTTGTGTTAAAAACAACCATTTCCTGGATGGTTCCTATTGTTGTCGGTGCCCTGCTAAGCACTTAATATCCATTATGTTGATTCGTTCCTCATAATAATCCTATAAGTTACTACTGTTGCTGCCTCAGTTTTGCAGATGAGAAAATGGAAGCCAGGGAGAGGTATTCTAGCCCGAGGCACGTGAGACCCGGGAGACCCGTCGCCAGGCATGCTGGTGACAGAGCCACCACCTGTGTGTGTAACAAGAGTACTCTGATGCTGTGGCCCAAGAAGATATGGGAAGCAAAACACGTAGCTGTTTATGCGCTGTAAAATATTTTCCTCTGTGTTTCGTCTTCCATCTCCTTTAGAAGGCTTTCAGAATTTTTCCCCACTTTGTTAGGTTTTCTTGGAATAAGGGTTTGAAAGTCCTCCACATCTCTATGCCAGCTCTACTCCGCAAAGTCACAGCAGTGTCGGAATAACCCCGAGGCGGCTGGGGTTCGCAAGAGTGTTCCGTGGGGGGGAAGGGAGCTGCCTGCAGAAATTAAGCCTGGCAGGGGCATTCAGGTATTTTTTTTTCCCCCATTCTTTTCTCACCTTCCCTCATGAGCTTTGCCTCCGGAACGGGGAGGTGGTGTGCAGAGTGATGGATGGGAAACATGCGAGATGGAGAGTGTGAGGGAATGTCAGGGAGCTGAATCTAAGCGCACAGCTTTCTAAAGCCACATACCAATACCAGATGCGTAGTTCTTGGGTTTGGTAAAGGCCCGGATGACAGACTCCCTACAGTGGCTCCAACAGCCACAGAGCGATAGGCGGCACTGGGTCTAATTTCAGCATCTGTAAAAATCTCCCCTATGAGCTGGCACCAAAGCAGCAGATATCACGGGGCAGCCTTCACCAATCTAAGTGCACTGGCAATTGGGCAATGATATTGGGCCTTCCCCTAAAGTGGCAATGACATCAGGCTGCTTCCTGCGAGGAACTGATCTTGACCTGCTACCCTGGGGTCTAGAAAGTGAGCCACTTCCGGAAAACTGAAATTGTGCCGAGAGCATACCTTATTCCTCCCGGGAATGGCATCCAATAATAATAATGGCCCTCAGTCTTCATAATATTGCTTTTCATCTAATAAGCACTTGAGAACATTAATTAGAACCTCCGTGGAATTCCTAAAGACTGGTGTTGGGCAACCCTTCGTGCAGCGAGGAACGCTCACAGACTTAGCATAGAGCTTCTGGCCGCCAAGGAAAAGGCAGAGCTCCTCCTTTTCCAGCCCCTAACTGGGAGGACTTTATTGTACATTAAGGCAAAAGGGAATAAGCTCATATTAACATCACAAAACGTAACAAAATGCTGAGAAAACCCCCGATGTAATGCAAAGTACCGGAAAGGTAAATGGCTTTATCAACCATGAATTCCTCTGCAAAGCGAATGTGACAGAAATTCTTCTTGCTTTTCCGAATCGCTGTAATATCACCGCACTGCTCAAAGACTTCTTGAATAATTTCTTCAGTAGCGTTTTCTGGTAATCCCCCGACAAACACGGTCTTACACCCAGGAGGTCGTTCTCTTGTGGAAGGAGGTGGAAGATCTATTAATCAGAACAAAACAGAGGGGTTTTGACTTTTATTTCTTTGCCCTCTTCCTCGCTCACCTGGTGAAAGTGACACTTGAAGAGTAACTGTGTCCATTCTGAGGAAGGATAGATTTCTACACCGACCTACACGGCTGGCAGGCTGCCTTGTTTTCACCTCCTCTCCCCTCCCCAACCTTAACTTTCTGTGTTCCTTTCTACACAGACTGGCTATGCTTGTCCGTGAACAGAGATAATGCAAGTGTTAGCATAATTTCATTTCTCCTTCATAATACAGAAGCCCAGAAAACGGGGGGAAAAAAAACCTGACAAAGGACAAAGCATGATGAAATGACAACATGATGGAAAACTTGGGCTTGTTATCGGCTTTGTCTCCTTGCGGGAATAATGGATCAGCAAGGCAGAAAACTGGGAACACAACCCGAAAGCAGTACTTGCTGGGCTGGGAAACACCAAACATCGGGCCTGAAAAACCACTTTTTAAAAAAAAAAATTATTATTCACATTTAAATGAGCAAATGATTACATTGGGGGAAGTCTGTAGGAAAAGATAAAACCTACACTGTCACAACATTTTACCTAGTTTACATGTAGATTACTAAAGCAATCTCCTGAAAAGTCCACTTCAAAAAGGCAACACTGATTAATATGAATAAAAAAAAATTCTAGCTATTTAAGCCCATAAACTTAGTATCTGAGCCTAAATTAAAAAAAAAAATCTGGCTCATTTATGTCATCGAATGTATGTTTCCTTCAAGCAAATGTAATTTGGCCCAGAAACTCTGAGATGCAGCCTCCCCCCAAAATTGCAAACTGCTAAATTAATTCAATTTTCCATCTAGCAAAGCACATTTCGGAGTTTTTCTCCTACATTTGTGACGATGGATGGAAATGCTCACATATTTCACACTATGTTTTGCAGCAAATGCTAGATGTCATTGCATGCAAAAAGATTCTTAATGCTGGATATATATCCCCAAATCACACATACTGCCTTCAGGTGTCAGTTCAGCTCCTGGATACAACACATGGACATATCCCCATCCATTTGGGCTAATCTAGAGACAAAGGCCTCATGGAGAATGGACCTCCACTTTGTGCCTGCGTGTGGAAGAATTCTGAGTCAGATCTGAAAGTGAATACAATGCTACATGAAAGAAAAAGAAAGAAAGAAAGAAAGAAAGAAAGAAAGAAAGAAAGAAAGAAGGAAAGAAAGAAAGAGAGAAAGAAAGAAAGAAGAAGGAAAGAAAGAAAGAAAGAAAGAGAAAGAAAGAAAGAAAGAAAGAAAGGAAAGAAAGAGAAAGAGAGAGAGAAAGAACGAAAGAAAGAAAGAAAGAGAAAGAAGGAAGGAAAGAAAGAAAGAAAGAAAGAAAGAAAGAAAGAAAGAAAGAAAGAAGAGAAAGAAGTTTAAATTGATGAGTATCTTTCACAGGCAACACTTACTTGGATTTTGAGGGAAAAGAGTACAACTTTTGCAGTGGATTATTTCTTTGACGACAGCCACTTCTGTTGGTGGTGGCGGTGGTACCAGCCCCAGGCCTGGAATCATCGGGTTAATGGGGGTGATCCCAGTCATCATGTTGAGGCCTGGATCAAAGCCTGGAACACAGATTGAGTCTGAAAAGTACACAAGATAACATTTTGGCTGGAGGATCTGAAATCAATTTTCATCGTTGTTTTTGCTGTTTGCTTGCAAAGATTATTCGGCTTTGTGCTTTCTATTTTTTTTTTTTTTTAGGAATGTCTCCTGAAGATGTAGCATTATAGAAAGCTATTCCAGAAAGGTAAAGAGAAAATAAAAGAAGAACTTAAAGCTACATGAAAAGAAAATCATATTACTTAAGATATTAACATGGCAGAATAGAACACAGCCTATTAAAGTGGAAAACCACGCACCATGAAGCTCTGTGGTTATTGTGAATGTGATTTTCTGTTTCTTAACAGCAGTGTATTGTTTACACTGCCTTATGACCCAGAATGTGGGAAGAATACCATTTAACATTGAAGTGCCCTGTGAATCTAATTGTCAATCTGGTTTTATCAAAAGAGCCTTCTTACCCGAGTGACCTAGATTTAGAAAAGTTCAATTTATATGTGCATACTTTATAACGATACATTCAGGTCCAACCTAACCTATTTCCCCCAGGAAACAAAAAACAACGAGTGATTATAATTACCATGGCTGGGTTATATACATGAGGCACAAAATTAGCTGTACATTTCTGTATTCTATTGGATAATCACACTTTCTTCCTCTAATTCAATCAACAAATAATTGACCAACGCTTCTGAAATCGTTATGCCCTGTATTAAAACAACAAATTTACGCCCTGTATAAAAAAAAAATGAAAGGGGGCAAAAGGAATGGGTTTTCCAATATAAGCAATGAGTTGTTTTTTGGTGGTGTTGTTTTGTGTGTGTGTGTGTGTGTGTGTGTGTGTGTGTGTGGTAATGAAACAAGTAACTGCAAAGATGATATACAGGGATTTTCTTATCCTAAATGAGTAAGATTTATTTACAAGCAGGGACTGTTACAATAATATACTGAGTGCCTAAAAGTAGCTGCAAGGGGATCCTTCTCCTGAGAGTTTTTCTGTTTGCAGAAAGCAGACAGTCTCCCTGGGAGCGTGATGATGTTCCAGGCAGACACACAGGAGCACAGATCACCGGGAGTAGTCATGGTGACCCTCCACTACTCCTCAGCCGTGAAACTCTCCTATCTCTTCTCCCTCGTCGTCCTAGATCATTCCCATTCCTCCCTCCTGGCCCTTCTGACCCTGGAAGGTCCCTGCCTTAGTGGCATGGCCTCACCCTTTGCTTACCTGTGCCGAAAGGTCCAGCAAGCCCAGAGGCAGACGAAGTGACAGTCACACCCTCTGTTTGCTAAGATACTCCAGTGCATAGAAATCACCAGCAAAACCTTTTCCTTTCTGGGAAAAGGTTTGTCATAGCTTTCCTGCAGCTACCCTGGGTATTTCCACTCTCTTTCTGGGTTGAACAGCATAAGCAGGGTGATCCCGATCTATAACCCCAGGAGGACTGCTGTCCCATTTATTAGGAGATCCATCTAACTTGACAATGTGCCAGCATGACTTCAATAAAATGAGCATTCTTTTCTCCAGTTGTGCTTTGGTTTAAAAAAAAAAAAAGGTCCTAAATCTAAATGCCAAATGAGCATTCTTGTTCGGAGGAGTCGTCTTGACATCCTAGGTACTTCTTCTGTAATTATGGTTTTTAGTTTCTTCATCTGTAACATGGGATGGTTTGGCTGAATAATCTCTTAGAGCAGTAGTAGGGATTCTGCGCTGACACCGCTCAAAACAAGTGATACACAAAAGACACAAAGGCTTGGAAGTGACAGAGACAAGACTCGCACTTTGGTTAGTCATTTGAAATCCTCATGAAGTTTCCCAGGTCTTTTTTCTCATTTCACAGACAAAGAAATTGAGGCTTAAAGCAGTTAAGTGAAATCCCCAACACCACAAAGCAAACAAAAGGCAGAGTCCGCACAGGGGCCCTTAGGTCTCTGGCTCTGTATTTAAATGCGTCTCTTGACTATTTCAAAGTTTCCATTCGAATGAACCGACTTGATCTTTCACCTGATCTATGTCACTACTGAACATTCACTCCTCTCTTTAAAAAAGTTAAGACGTATCCTTCCATCCCAGATGCCAAGTCTGAAGGGGAAGTTCCCGAACAGAATGGCTTTCAGTGTCCCAACTTACCTGTCTCATCTTAAGAAATTTGCTTGCAAGGACTTCAGTGATGGTGATCACTGAAACAACAGATTGCCTTTCAAGGTGAATATATTAGAAATCGAAGTATTGGCATGCATATGCTTTTATTTAATCTCATTCTGTACGTAAGGTTCGTCTGTTTCATTCCTGGCCTGGCCCTCTCTGTTGTTTGCCAACACAGGGTGATTTAAGGCTGAGATGGCTCAGGACAGCAAACCCTGTGAATTGTAATAACCAGATGTTTTTCACAAATGAGATGTGAAGCCCGGCGCTCGTGTTCTCTTTAGTCGTAACGCACTTCTGTTTTCTTTTGGGAGGCTAAATAAATAAATGGGGACAAAAGACACTGCTCTTGAGCAAAGTATTTTAATATAGAGCAAGCATTACTTTGCTTTTTCTGAGACATCAATATGAAGAGACTCTGAGGTTTAATGAAATCTGCATGGTGAGTACAGTAGCTTGAAAAGAGCTTAGAAAGGAATTAACACTTAAATTATGTTGGACCTCAAAGGATCGGAGATTCAGTATTTGAGAGGAGGAAGTAGGGAAGGATTAGACCTTTTTTTTATTTTTTTAAATAAGAACCCATTACTTGTTAACAATATAGGAACAGATGGAAATTGTTTTCTCAAATGGCACAGGAACCTATTCTGTACTAACTCATTAAAGGAAACGCACAATTTTGGGGAGTCGGAGAAAGACAGATGCACAGGAAGACAAAGGTGAAGAGAGAATTCAAGCTCTAAGAGGCAGTTCCTTGTCTTGCTTAGAAAAGGTACCCCTGTGAACTTCAGAGATAATGAGTTATAATTCCACTCACGGAAAAGAGGAAGAAGGCTTAACTTGCAGCAAGAAAGAATCCAATTAAGTAGAGAGTAGAACTTTCTTTCAGAAACCGTACTTAAACAAGAGGAAGGGCTATTTGTTTCGAAGACGGCAGCCCTGTCCGGCTTCTCCTTGGAAGGAGGCCAAGCCAAGCAAGCAGGTGCTAAGGCCAAAGCTGAGCCAACGATTCTTTCTGGTTGTCTTCTCCCAACCGGACAAGACAAAAGCAGGAACACAAGTCCTGCTTACCGATCCATACACAGCCCAGTGAGTGTTTCATCAATTGGGCAAGCATTTTTTCAGAGGGGAGGTTAGGGTCTTGTGTTCAGGCACGACAGTTTCTTTCACTCATTCATTTGGCACTTACTGGGCACCTACCGCTGCAAGGATCTGGCGTCGCGCACTGTAATACGTCCCCCACTTGGGGAAATCACAGTGTCTAAGGAGAACATGAAAGATGGGCACCAAACTCAGCAGAAGAGTTGAGAAAAACGGAGGCTCAGGGGTCAGCCCAGGAAGGGGCCCGCTGGGGAGAGCCTGATGGGCCTGGGCAATTCCAAACAACTGTCCGTGCTACAGCGTGGTCCGCATGTGACAGTGTGACCCCAGTGTCCTGAGGGGCCGCGGGAGTCAGATTAGATGAGACCGCACCTTGCTGTTCGAGCCAGTACATTCTGGCTTTATTCTCCCTGGGACGGTGGCCACCAAAGGTCGGACGTGCACTTTCTAGGCCGAGGCCCCCTGCCGGCTGTGCAGCCCGCCCATCCCTCCTTCTCAATTTGTCTGCTGCCCCTAGCAGTGGTCAGCCCCCTTTCCCGTCAGTGCCTCACTGATGTCTACCTATTTGAAATGAGAACTAGACCTCCCTCAAAAGAAAGGCCATCGAGGCCTATCTCTGTCAAGCCTGGACCGAACTAGGTTAGGTGTGGGTGTGCATGCTGGGCTGAGCTGAGGCTAGGGGGACACAGGTGCACTGTCTGTGCCAGGAACAAGTGTGGCCCAGAAGGCAGGGCACAGCATTCCAAGAGAATAATATGAAAAAAGAGGCAGGAGTCAGGCTAGCCAAAGGTTAGCATTAGGTCTAGTCCTGGGCAGAGATCATGAGCAGCAGACAAAACACGAGACCAGGCAGCTTTGCCAGGTCCCCAGCTTTGCCAGGGGATGCCGCTGGCAGGTCACGGGGCCTGAACCACCCTGATCCACGTTCTGACTCCATCCGGGTAGAGGTGTGGCAACAACGTGTCGGGGTCAGAGGCCGAGAGAAACCGACGGGGAGGTTACGTGAGCTGGATCCCAGGCTGGAGAAGCAAGACAGACACCAGAAGCAAGGCCTAGGGATTGTGAAAGGAGGCAGACACGCCAGGCATCAGTCCTGGGGCCTGGGTCACAGCCCAGCCAGTGTCAAAGCCAGCTGGACGCTGAGTCTTAGAAGGCAGGGCCCCAGGGGCCCCCTTCCTCGTACCTGAGGCCCAGATGGGACCTCAAGTCCAGGGAGGTGCCAAGCTTGTGGGGGCCGGGCAGAGAGACAGGCTGGAGGGGCTCTGGCAAACGAGCAGAAACTCCTGTCCTTTCTCCAGAGGAGTTATTGTCTCAAAATATGATCCCTTCTCACTGGGCAGAGAAACTACGTGATACGTGAGGACATTCTGTTTATTGGACATTTGGGATACATGATGGACACTGTTTCTCATGATAGTTTCTTGTTGCAGTTGACAGGACCTACTCTTCTACAATGTCCGTTAAACTCAGACTGTTAAAGGAATGCTTTTTTCTTTTATTTCTTTTTTTAATGTTTATTGATTTTTGAGAGAGAGAGAGAGAGAGAGGAAGAGTGAGTGGGGGAGGGGCAGAGAGAGAGGGAGACACAGAATCCGAAGGAGGTTCCAGGCCCTGGGCTGACAGCACACAGCCTGACGTGGGGCTCGAACTCACGGACCACGAGATCATGACCTGAGCTGAAGTCGGACGCTTAACCGACTGAGCCACCCAGGCGTTCTGGGAATGTTTTTTTTTGTTTTTTGTTTTTTTTTTCATTACATGTCCTCCTTTTCTCCA